AGCTGCAAAAGTTGTTAGAGCTGTTGGAAGGCAAAGGGGTTGGGGAGGCAGCGCAGATTGACAACAGCAGGCATCTTCTGTAAATCCTAGGAGAAGAAAAAGGCCATGTTACCAAAGCCTAGGCCCGCTGAAAGAAGCAGGAATCATGGTGGGAGAGATGGAGGGAGCCAAAGTGATGGAAGGAAGGACAGTATGGACAGACCTAGAGTTTCAGAAGAGTTGTAGACACTGCTGGAAATGCTACACCAGTCAGAAAGACAGCATCAGATTCTGCTATCTTCTTCCCACTGACCAGTCTCAGGGCAGAAGATGGTTGCAAAGAAGCATGGGGAATGGATCTGAGGGCAAGTTGGCAAATATTAGGGTGGATCCTTACCTATTTTCACTTTCTTAAGTTAACTGGTTTCAAACCACTAAATAGAAAATCCTATAAATAATCATGTTTTAAATAATTTTTACTATAATATATTGTTATAATTATTGTTTTGTTATTTGTTATGTTTTTATTCTGTAAATTAAACTTTATCTTAGGTACATCTGTATAAGAAAAAACAGAGTGATGTATAGAGTTGAATATTATTTTCAGTCTGAAGAAATTTATGGAAAGTCTTAGACCATATCCCCCTTTTGGGGAAACTAACTAGCAGGAACAATCAAAAGGCACTGAGTCCACTGACCTTTAAACGTCTTCCAGTACTTTTATCACAGAGTTCACAGGTACCTTCAGAGGTTCCTAGCTTCTCTTACAATGAAGATACTGTTCTGGGGTCTTAACAGGTAGCTCTTCTTAGGAGTTAGAAGCTTCTTGTAACATTCTTGTGTTTCTCAGGATGACACCTACTCATATCTTTACCTCCCTGTCTCCCACAGCCTGGAGGAGTTTCATTTTTCCTTATGTGTGCTGTGCTGACATTTCATGCAAGTTCTATTCCCAGCAGATTTTTGGTCTTTGGAAGACAGGGACATAATCTTACTCATCTTAACCTCAATTTGTGTCACCAAGAGGCTTCTAGGAATGTAGGGCCAGAATGCACACATTGGCAGTGTTAAGACAGTTGATTGATATCATTTGTCAAAGAACTTCTCTGTTTTCCTGTAGTCTGTGATCTTGGCCAACTGACTTAACACATTCACAACACGGCATACGTGCATGACTGACTCACTGGGTGACTTTTACCTGCCATTGGGACTGTCCCATGCTGCCTGATGGGAATGTCATGAATGTGCCACTGGCTAGGTTTTGCAACAGTAAAACCCCCAGAATCTCAGTGGCTAAAAATTCACAAAAGTTTATTTTCTACTACACATTTTTTGTGGGTCACCTGGGATGTATCTATATCCCCCCCACCCCGCCCCCGGCTTCTAGCTGATAGCTCATCTGCCATCTTAAATATTGGCACTCCCTTTGTCGAGAGAGAGAGAGAGAGAGAGAGAGAGAGAGAGAGAGAGAGAGAGAGAGAGAGGGAGGGAGGGAGGGAGGGAGGGAGGGAGAGAACTTGAATAGGATGGGAGGAATGTAATTTAATGTTCACCTGGATGTGTCATGTCATGTATTCTCACAACTTTCTGGTAGAAACTAGTTAAATAGCCTCAGTTAATTTCAACTAAGGCAGAGGAAGATTGGGAGTATTTGTTGATTTGCACTAATGACAGGTAAGAAAGTAAGATTTAATTTTTCATGATTGTTTAACTATTAGGGGAATATTTGCACTAATGACACTAATTTGACTTTAAATGATTGTTTAACCATTAGATAACATGAATGCTTAATATACTGCCTAGTACAACATAAATGCTCAATTCATAGCAGATAAATTATTATTATTAATATCTAGCAGTTTATATTTAGTTACATTTCCAGCATCCGTTTGCATAGCAGATTTTGTTACATCTATTTTTCCCTCTCTTGAAAGTGCAAAAGTAAATTTAAATAGTTCCTCTCTGGACTTAACATAAATTCTCAATAAGTGGAGTTGATATAATGAACTTTAGACCTCATCAGAGACCCCATTCTTCCAAGTTGTGGCTTGAGCACCAATACATGATGATAGTACAAGAAAATTACTTTGTGAAGTAATTGTGAAGTTTGTGAAGTTTGGATTTTCAGCACTGGTTTTGGAAGTATACTCATTGTCTTGGTTTTCAATTTAAGAACAATGGACTTTAAGCCGACTTTTTCATTTGAGTCAGTATAGAAACAGTCAATATGTATTATATGTATGAAGCTGGTCGCTAGATCAATTGCATTTAGTTTGCAGCAGATTGCATTAACATGTCTAAAATTAATACTGGGAGTGCTCTAATGAAAAGGAATTGACCACGATCACATTGTGGCTGTTTTTAGTGTCTCTCAAATTTGCTTTTCAAACTATTTTTTTCTTTGGTTAATGGCTTTAAATTGGTTCAACAACAGGCTTAATCTATTGATCCTTCCCATTTGCTTTTTAAAAGTGGTCCCAGAGAATGGCACATATGTAACATTTAATGTATTCTTTCAATACAGTTTTACTAAATACCTTAAACTTGTATTTTTCTTGCACTGTTACATGGCAGGCTATGAAGAGGCTATGAAGAGTGAGTGTTCATTTATGAAATTTTGTGTTTTTCTAATGTTTCATTAAGAACTTAAACATTTAAAAGTAGGACTATCATACTATATAGTTTAGAAGTAATATATGGTAAATGATGTGAGCATTGCTTTCCTGGCAGCTTGTTTTTATCCCAGCATTGTTTATTTCTAAAGAATTATAGTCAACTTCATTATTAGAAACATTATTACCCATATTTAGAAGGACCAGAAGAGGTATATTTAGCCTTGATCATGTCAAGATTTGAAATTTTTTTTTTGGTACCAGGGATCGAACTAGGGACCTTGCACTTACAAGGCAGGTGGTAGGACCACTGAGCTAAATCCCTGGCCCAAGATTTGAATTTTTTACAAATATGCATAAGTCATGACTAGTTTAGATCTTAAGGACTAATTCATATTTTTCTATTTTTGAAGGTGGTTATTTTTGAGGAATGAAGAATGGTTTGCATCAGGGGACAAAAGTCAGGGTTTATTCATTTGGTTAACTAGTATTTTATTTAGTATTTTCTATATGCCAAGTACCACTGTACTCTTAATTCTTAAAGATACAAAAAAGTGTGCAGCACACTGTGATACACTCTGCCCTTGAGTAGAGAGTAGTTGTATGGTTCTAGTTGTAGGGTTCTGGAGCCTCTTTGAATTCCTCTTGTCAAAAAGAGCTCATTAGTACATTAATAGCTTGGAGAGTCCAGAAGAAAACAACTTTTTTTTTTTTTTTTGATGCTATCAAACTCAGGACCTTTCACTTGCCAAGCAGGTACAGCGCCACTGAGCTACATCCCGACCCAAGCAAATGACATTTTAAAGATACCTTGGAGGTTCTGAAAGCTAATGCTTCAAGATACTAAACTTTGAGACCTCAGTGCCAGGGTGGTCAGCGTGATAGTACCTTGGGCATCTCCCAAGGCCAGGACAGAAGCTTCTAGAGCCTGTATCATGGGATTTTCACATTCTGCAAGTCTTGAGATTCAGTCTTGTGATTGATTTTTTGTTTTTTCAGTTTGCTTTAATGATAATGATCTTCCAACTTCTTGGAAGTTCCTGGAAACAAGTGTAGCTAAGTGTATTCATTTTTCCTCTGATTTTTTTCATTTAAAAATAAGGTTTATAGATCTGATAAGGAATGCTATACTATTGGAACTGGAATTTACCTGTTTATTATTCTGTGTTTTGGCTGTATTCTTTCAATATCCATTATAAACTGATAGTGCATATTGTAAAACCATTTCAACTTGAAACCTAAGCAAGACTATTGTAATGCACTTGTTGTTATGTAGGAATTAGTCTAATTAATAGAGTATCATGTTATTATACTCAGCATTGGTACATTAAAGAGATAATCTTATTAAACTCAAAATGACTATATCTAGGCTCCATCAAAAACTAAAGAAATGAACTAGTTTGTGGCCCATTGACCTTGAAAGTTAAAAACGTTTTCCTGAGCCAGATGTGGTGGCACCTGAGTGTAACCTCAGGTGCTCAGTAAGTCGAGGCAGAAGAACTGTGGGTTTGGGGCCAGGTTGGGCAATTTAGCAAGACCCTGATTCAAAATAAAATTTAAAAGGCTGGGGATGTGGCTCAGTGGTAGAGAGTTGCTCATGTGCAGGAGGCCCTAGGTTCAATCCTCAGTACCAAAAAAAGGAAAGAAAAGAAAAATTCCTGAGGTACTTTATAATGGTTAGTGATGCGCATGCAATTATTAAAGAAATAATATGGCTGGGGATTTAGCTCAGTGGTGCCGGTGCCTGCCTCGCAAGCGCAAGGTCCCGAGTTTGATCCCCAATACCAAATAAATAAATAAATAAATAATTAAAATTATGTTGATGAGCCAATACTGGACTGTTAGTAGCAGAAAATACATTATTAAAAAAAAAATAATATGTACTTTGACTGGAGTCTGAGTGGTGAGTGCAAGAGAGGCATAGGCTATAGATAGGGGAGTGATGGTGAACCTTTTAGAGCTTTCAGTGATAACAGACAACCCGCTGCAGCATGCATGCCATAGGTTCACCACCACAGGGCTTTTAAAAATAACTTAATTTATAAATACTTACAGACTCACAGAAAGTTGCAAAACAATCCATGTATTCTTTGCCCAGCTTCCCCTTGCATTGCCATCTTATATAATTGTACAATATCAGAAGAAAGAAACTTGCATGGGTATGTTCCTGTTAACTAGATTATAAATCTCAGTCCATCTTCACCATTTTTAAAAAATTGCATCTATTTGTGTATGTGGTTGTTTTGAACACTTGCATGAAAAATTCGCATAGATATATTTTTTCTTTTGTGTCTCTAAACTGTGTTGCTAATTTCTATTTGATGGTGCCTGTAAGACTGGCCATACAAAATGACTATTATTTTTCCTGTTACTAATTCTTATTGTATCTCTCTCCCTCAATTTCCCTAGGCAGTTCAGTGCACCTCCAGAAGATGGCTCAACTTGCAGGAATACCAGAGCAAGAAACTGATGTCTGACAATGGAGTGAGAGTTCAAAGATTCTTTGTAGCAAACACTGCAAATGAAGCTCTGGAGGCTGCTAAGAGACTAAGTAAGCTAATTCATAACAGGTGAAATATGCTCCCTCCAATGAGTGAATTCATAGGTAGTGGTTTCCCAGTACTGTAGTTTGGATCTTTTTTGGGGGATTATACCAGTAAGGACAGATTTAGGGGAGAACTTTGAATATGCAAAAAAACCCAAATAGGAAAGTCACTTCTTTCACATGAGATAGCAGTGCATGGATTTCTCTCCATGGTGGTGCCTCTGAGTTTTCAGTCTCCATTTACCCACTTTTTTTGGCTCTGTTTAGTGGCTGTGAGAAATAGGAGCGAAGGGTATAGAGAATCCCACTGGGGCAGGTCAGGCATGGTGATTGACATCCTTTCTTAAGCCGCTCAGAAGCTGAGAGGAGTTCCTGTGACTAGAGGAGAGCAAGAAGAAGGACATGTATTTTAAAGTCAAAATGCTTTTGGTTCACTGGTTTTTTTTTTTTTCCTTCGATTACCAGATCTGTAACTTTGTGTATGGCGCTTCTTTTCTTATCTATGGACCCAGGCTAATAGTGTTTCTCTCCCAGTGCTGTTGTGCCTCTTTCAAGGAAACTTACATTGTGATAGAAGAAATTGTAATTAATAGCCCTAGATATGGACCGAGACATTAAGAATTAAGCTTACTCTCTGCTTTTTTAATTGTCAGCCTGGACCATCAGTGTCCAATAGAAGTAGAATATGAGTCACAAACATTTTTTTAAAATTTCTAATAATCATACTGAGAAGAACAAAAAGAAATAGGTAAAGTGACTAATAATACATTTTATGTGTTATCAATAGGACATATTTTTGTTGCTATCTTCACAAAGCTGGTTAGTATTTTGCATCTGTAACACATCTTATTTCTTACTAGTCACATTGGAGGTGCTCAGGAATCACTGATGGCAAGTGACTGCAGTATTGGATGGTGTAGGTCTGGGCCACAGAAGGATTTGCATTTGCATTTGCATCCCTTTTCTGCAGCCTTGGAGAGCAGTTATTTCCTACCAGGAATAAAGAATAGAGGATTTGTAGTCATTTGTAGTTTTCAGATGATAAATGTAGAGGTGAACAGCTTATATTTTAAAAAATTGAAAATTTGTTTCATTTTTAAAAACTATCAAAATGAGTTTTTATGGTGAAACTCCAGTGACATTACTAAATCTAGGGAAGTGAACTGTGGCAGTATACCCAGTCCAGGGTAGTTATTCCAACCTTTGTACAAGAAGGGATCATTTTTGTTTTATACTCCCATGGTTTGGGAATTGGGGAATGAGGGCAAAGAAATGTAAAGTTCGAGTTGGTCTTGGATCTCATTTTCCCCTTCATTTTCTTAAATGCAGCAAAGCCCTAGTATTCCAGGCCTAAGAGACCCTTTTAAGGGAATTCTAAAAGCCAGCTGAGTGCTCTTGCAGTTCTACTGGCTTAAGGATAGCACCTCTGAGATGATGTATCCTTTAGATTTCCATGGAGATGTGGACTTACTGAACTAATTAGCTTCCTAGTTATTGGTTTATTTTAAAAAAATTACAGCATCATTTCATGGTTGGGGTTATGCTCTATGATTTTAAAATAGTTTTTGTTCTAGAGGAATTAGCAGTGATGTGGCATATATATCCTGGGGCTGGAGCAAGGTAGGGGGACTGACAACAAGCAAATTTAGATAAAGGAAATTAAAATGACACAATACAAAGAAACTTTTTAAACAGCTGATTTTTGTTCTTGAGAGGTCGTTTCAAGAAATTCAAACTGGATAAAAGAAATTGAAAATGATACAGAGATTGAGAGTTTAAAGTAGGGGGCTGGGGATTTAGCTCAGTGGTTCCACCACCTGCCTCGCAAGTGCAAGGACCCAAGTTCGATCCCCGGTACCAAAAAAATAAATAAAGTGAATGAAAGATTTAAGAATGAAGCAGGGTGTGTGTGTGTGTGTGTGTGTGTGTGTGTGTGTATACAAATGCACTTTCACCTATGTACACCTGTGACATCCCTTTAGGAGTGTAATCAGTGGGGGCTTTTCTGTTATCCTGCTCAGAGTTAAACAGAAATTTAGAAAACAGATCTAGACACCTTGTTTGGTGAATGAATGAGTAATCTTTCCTGTATTCAATAGTAGTTTTGTTGTTAGAAGTTGTCTTTTGGTTTCTGTTGTTGAATAGTTTTGATCTAAGAGGAAATTTATAGCATTGGAAAAGGAGATGCTACCAATTGTAGAAAGAAATGAAATGAATAGTTAGTAAATATAAAAGGAAGTGTGTGCATCACTGTTCCTGTGATCGCTTAGAGAGAGCAAAGCAAGAAGGAGCTGGCAGAACTTCACAGTGTTTATGTTCCTGTCACTACAAGATTGACAAGAACGAAGAGCACAAATGGAATTTTACCCAACAGATTTGAGGTCGATTAAAGCTGAATGACATATGTACATCTTCCTGATTATTCTGAAAGTGTTGTCTACCCTATAATTATGATATTATAAATGGAAATTATATAGGATATTAATATGCCTAATGTGCATTAAGTATTATATAAGATTATATTTGTATCATCATCATCAGGAACTTCTGTTTCCAGGTGGTTGATTATTATCATGATTCAAATTCACAGACACATCAGAGACATAGGATGATCAGTATTGTGTCAATCATGTATTAAAAGAGTTCATATTTTAAATGATTGAAATCTGATTTACCTTTGTACTTTTTCATATCTTGATGTGTTTTGAAATAAAATGACATCTTATGAAATATTTTGAAAGTGAATGTTTTTTGCCATCCCTATGATTTCCTGTGTAAGCTCTATGTAGATTTTCTCATAAGTCTCTTTCTTTGTGTCTGAACCCACATTCCTCATTGCCTGTTGACTATTTCTGTCTTTGGCTGTCCTTGTCCAAGTGGAATTTATCATTTCTTGGTTAGCCCAGACCTCCTCTTCGGTTTCTCTCTCCTCATCTACTTACTTAGTAGAGATAGCTCCTAATCATCTCTTAAGCCTCTATGCCTATTATATTCAGTCCGTTGCCAGATCCTGTTGTTATTAATAGACATTGTTGTTTTATAGACAAGGAAACAGGCAAGATAAGGTTAAAATACTTGGCAAAGTTGTAGAGCTAATAATCAGCAGAGATGGGATTTGATCCTAGCCAGATTAGATTTAATTTCTTCTCCATCGTTTTCCTCTTTGCTAACTTGATGATGATATTCTTGGGAGACTGTTTTGTGTAGGTCAGCATTTTTAATATTGAAAATGCATATTAATAAAACTAGAAGATTCGATTAAAACTAGATGCACCAGATTCTGTGGTACAATTTTTAGAAACTAATCTGCAGATGTTTTCTTAATGATTCATTGTGTTGTATCTCTTTGGGCAATAGAAATCTTTGCTGTGTAGTTATGGAAAGCTTGTTAATTTGAACATTTTTTTTTTTAAATGGGTTGTGCAAAGCTTTTTTTTCCTGAAATACAGTTCATAATGATAAGATGTTGAGAGAGATCCTAATTTTCTTTCACTGAAAATAGACATATCTGATTGAAAGAGTAAATTTGATTTGGTGAATGAAGATTTTAATATGTGGAATATATTCACTTCTGGAGCAGCTTATAAGGGCCACTTTATGTTATCAGGCTTTAAGGAAGGAATTATTTCCCTTGCATGCAATTATTTTAGGAGGCTTATTAATAAGGTACTTTTCTCTTATGGATTAAAATTATTAAATACAATCAGCAGATATTTACAGAACACCTACTGTGTGAATCACTAACCTTTTTTAAAAATTTAATTTTATTGGTACATTTTAGGTATACAATATAATGACATTCATCATTGGAAATTTGCCCCTTCACATAATCTCTCTTGGTCCTTATTTTTTCCCCTTTCCCCTGCCTTCCCTTCAACCCCTCCATCCCTACCCATTTACAAAGACTTTGTTTCCATTTTTCCATTTTCTCATATTAATTCCATTCCCTTCTTTCCTTTCTCCTACTCCTTCCACTTCCCCTTCCCCTTTACCCCTTTTCTTCCTATTTCACATTATCTAGTATACCTTTTAGTCCTTATTTATATTTTCAGTTTCTCACACTAGAGAAATTATTTGGTAATTACACATGGGTGTCCTATTTATTTCACTTAAGAGTATCACCTCAATGTGCATCCATTTAGCTATAAATCTCTAATTTCTCGTTTTTCATGGCTGAGTAGTACTCTAGGTAAAAAACCCCAACATTTTCTTTATCCAATTTTCCATTGATGGGCATTTGCTCTGTTTCCAAGTTTTAGCTATTACAAACTGTGCTGCTATGAAAATGGGTGCACATATATCACTGTGGTATAACTTTTAATTCGTTGAGGGAAGATACCCAGCAGGGGAATAGCTGGGTCAAATCGGACTTCCAGTCCTAGTTCTTTGAGGTATCTCCACACTGATTTCCACAGTGGTTGCAGGAGTCTACACTCCCACCAGCAGTGGAGCAGTGTTCCTCTTTCCCCACAGCCCCACCAGCATTTGTTATTGGTTAATTTCATGATAGCACCCATTCTTTCTGGTGTGAGGTGGAATCTCAGTCTTGTTTTCATTTCCGTCTTTCGAAGGATCAGTGATGTTGAATATTTTTTCATATGTTTATTGGCTATTTCTACTTCTTTGAGTAATGTCTGTTCATTTCAGATGCCCATTTTCGGATTGGGTCTTTAAATTTGGGAGGTCTGATACTTTTAAGTTCTTTATAGATTCTAGATAGTAGACCTTTGTCTGAGGAACAGCTGGTGAAACTTTTTTCCCACATTGTGGGTTGTCTCTTCACACTGCTGGTGGTTTCTCTTGCTGTGCAGAAGCTTTTTAATAAGAGATCCCACTTGTTGGTTGTTTGTGTTCACAGGCAACTGAGGTTTTGTTCATAAAATCTTTTCCTACACCATTGTCTTCAAGAGTTCTATCTAACCTCTGTTCCAGCTGGTTCAGCATTTCTGTTTTAATGTTTAGATATTTAATCCATTTTGAATTTAGGTTAGTGCATGCTGAGAGAT